CTGAGTAAATAATGCATCTTTCTTATTGCAATTCTAATATACCAAGCTTCTAGTATACCAAGCTTGACGAAAACCTCCCTTCTCGGTATCATTTCATCATGTTGACTTAAGAATTGCTTTTCAGTGTCGCAGAACAGTTTCACTGTGATACTAATCATGATCTGTAATGTCGCTACAGATGAAACCAGCACAGAAACAGTCGCTGAAACAACAGAAAACTCTCAAGAACCGGAGGTCAAACCACAAGGCAACAACTCTTTCACAGTCAACTCTTCTTCAACAATCGAGCCGCACTCAGCTCACAAACGCCATCACCGTCATCACAAGCAGTTTTGTCGCAAGTGCTGTCATACGCCACCGTAAGTGTGCTTAATTAATAAATCCTAAACTACACAACTCAGCTATCTAACCGGATATATTTCTGTTTTTACTGGGAGCTGAATCTATAAACGTGAACACAACGCAGTTCGTAAAAATATTGGACGACATCCTTATGTGAGAGACTTCAGCTCAACCGATTTCCCGTGACTGCATGTATGCAATCTTTGAAAATTTCTCATGTTTGCGTGTTTATGCAAGCTTTAAACAAATAATCTCGATAACTTGATATTTGTTTAGGAGTTAGGTAACATTATTTTGAAAAGAGTTTCTTTTGCCGCAGTGACAATTGAGGACCAGACATGTTTTCTTAGCCTAAAGCTCGTTTCATTTTGTCGTTATTTCCTTGCATGGTTTGTAACATAACAAACCACGATTCAGGGTTTTCATGTTAAACTAATTCAGTCCTTAAAAAAAGCATTTTCTTTGATGACAGATGCTGGTACAATAACCACAAGGAATGCAGCAAGTGTGTAAAAAAAGAACAATTGAAACACTCTGTAGAAAGAATTCTCAGACGATCACACAAGAAAGCTACTCATCACCACCGGACCCAGAAAAATGCCTCGAAGAAGTGAAGATGAGCCGCGCAAAACAGACATACAGGATACGAACACTATTAAGAACTTTCGTCTCGTCATTCACAACTCCTGGAAACTCACGACAAATCTCATTGGCTCGTGCAAATCCGCCCTAGTCCCCACCTCTAGAGCGCGCCCAAGACTGAGCACACGCCGACTACAGAGGACGTTTTTCCACCATCCAACACTTTCAGCACTGGCAACTGTTGATTAACAGTTACTTTCTCATGCATGCGAATAAACAACTATAAAGAGCGAAATCTCGTATACTGTGAAATACTACCGCTGGAAACGTAAGAATACCACAAAGGGAGGAAAGTTTGTATCTCGACACTATTGGACAAATTGAGTTTTAGCATTGCCGCTGGTCTCCACATGTACAGTTTGCAATTACAGTTTAGGTCGCTTTTATCCATAACCTATATTGTGAAGTGCAAGAAATACAGAATTTCAAATGTAGATGTAACTATATAGAGTATCGACTGTAAATAGAATTCAGTTCTTAAGGTTTTGTTTTCATGCAAATGTTTTAATTGTAAACCCTACTGGGGTTTAAAAAATTTAAATAATAAAGGAGAAATGAAATCAATTCTGGTCGTTTTAGGACTATTTGGATGACTAGAAAATCATAGCTTCTAACATGGTGCCGAGGCCTAGGTCTAAAACAAAAGAATAGTTCATTCATACCTGAAACTCAATGTGACTTCTTATGTTTTAGTCCCCCATGCCACGACGCCATGTTAGAATGTTAGTATGTTAAGTATATCGAAACTGGCCTAATCACATCTGAGCTCTGAAAACAGTTGTCTTGGCGTTCCAGTCGATTTTTAGACATATAGTCTCACAGGCGAAGAACGAAAGAGAGCGATTTAACCTTCCTCGGTGACCCAGGAGCAGTTAGTTGGGGCGGGAGGAAATAAATCCGGCAAAAATTGAACTGTTTTGACCAGCTTTTTTGTACAGGGAAGATTTTCTTTCGCATGTATTGTACGTTTATGGTGGTATGGTTGGAAATCGTTTTCGCAGGATACCATATATTACTGAATCAATCATGTTGATTTGATTAGAGCTTTATTTTTTGACTACACTCCGTGATGTCATCTCAAGTGACAGCCATGAAGCATTCTGGTCGGCAGTGAGTTGATTATAATGCAAAGCTCGTGCAAACCTTTCACACAAGGAAACTAGTCTAATAAAAATGTTCTCTCTCAGTCTTTACAGCTGTGACTCACTCCGAGTAATGATTCGGAAATACTACAGCTGCTCTTTTTACGAAAGACCAGAGTGAAGGGAACTTTCTGTGCCTCCAATTTGCTTTGTTTTCCCTGCCAAACGGAATTGCAACGCAAATAATTTGTCTGCACAAGAGATATAATTTAGTCTGCATGCTGTAGTTTCAGAAAACTCCATTCCGCTACATCTTGATATCTATGGGTGAGGATGGTCATCTCGCCTGGGCCTGTGAATAAACACAAAGAAAACCTTCATTAGAAAGGGGCTACAAACACCAGTTTGAGCGTCCACTGGCACATATTCAAAATCCTTCTCGAGCTCCCACGATCTCAAAAATTTTCGTTCCTTTTTGGCTTATGAACACCCTTAATGTTTTCTTCATCTTACTGATTTGCCAATCTGTAGTTTCCTTTCTCTTGAAGAGAAATGTTTTGTACTTACAGATTGAAAACTAACTGAAGGTAGCACGACTTAGTGACAAAAGCCAGGACTCTTAGTTGCAGTTCGTGGTGTACTATAGATCAGGTATCACATCAGCCTCAAATACAGTACAAGTAAACACAATCGTTTAGCGAAAGTGCACACAATAATTTTTGTTATTCCTGATGACACCTCCATAAGGTTCAATTTCACTTGAACTCGGACTGCCTTACCGGCCACCAGCATAAAAGAGCACAAGGGTGTGTACAAGGAAGTCTTCTGGGCGCTAGTGATCAACCTAGCGCCAGACAGACCAGTTTCTTACCGTGGAGCAGCCTTCACGATGTTATCGACTCTTACAATCATCTCCGCTGCCTCAGCCGCTGATGTTAGGACTTGTTTCTTGACCTGGTACGACTCGGTCACGCCCATCTCAACCATGTCTCCGATACGGCCGTGAGTCATGTCTAAAATCAATCAAACAAAATCACACTATTTTATTTATACTGCTTTGACTACGGAGGAAAAAAAAAATACAGAAACAGTAGAAAAATAATGTAGGTTATACAAATAAGAAATACACGCTTTTGAGCTGACTGCTGGTTAATCAGAGGTAAAGGAAAGCAAAGGAGAAAACAAAAGTAACATAATTTACATCGAACTAACACATGGGAAAGAGAGAAGATACAAAAACTAAAAGCAAATATACCCATTTACTAACAGCAAAACTGCTGCACATCAGATAGCTTGGAAAATAAATTAAAATAGTGTTGATCTTCCATAACATAAATAAACACGGCGAAGGTGCTTTACTACAATTTTTTCTGTTGTTGCTACAAGTCTTGAGAGCTCATTACGGTAAAATGAATCACACTGCTAACAAATGCTCAAGTTTTGTGTAACAAATTGTTTACCCAGTCCATAGGTTTTCTTTCCTTCCGTATGAGCAGCTCGAAGTTTAGCGACCAAATCAGCGCTGTCGTAACCTGCATTATCTGCAATGATGGTGGGTAGCTGAAGAGAAAATACACATAAAGAATATATCAACACTTGCTCTGTAAACAATATTGTAAACTTCCCAGTAAAAAATGATGTTAAAAGTGTGGAACACAGTTCTACCCACGCCACACAGATGAGATGTTTGGATAAAGGGCCAAGGAGTGTAACTGCGGGGTTATATGTTGTTAAGTAACAATCAGTATCAAAGTTCTGGCATTCTTATCATGCAGGTACATGCAGATAGTGATACAGTTTGACTTGTACTAGCCTAGACTTGTAAAAAAATTGGCAAGCGGAGCGAGCAGACGAGTGTGAAACTGAAGAATTTGGAGAGCCAAGCGATTGGGGTGGGACAGGGGAGGTTCCCTCGCTGTGTTCGGGCTCCCTGAGAACCCGTTTGCAGGCTTGACTTGTACCTGTCTCAGGGCAGCTGCAAAGGCCTCCATAGCTGCAGCTTCTTTCCCCGGTGTCTTAGCAGCAAGCTGCGATACTGCATTGGCCATCAACATTTCTGAAGCACCTGATCAGACAAAAGAAAAAAAAAACGTTGAAAAGTACTCAAACAAGCACTGCAATCATCACTATTCAATGATGTGATAAAACCACAGCTAAACATCATCCTTTTCTGTGCTCAAAATCAGTTCACAAAACTCTATTTCCAATTTCCAGGTAGTTTTAAATAAAATAAACATCTTAATTGACCACTCCCCCAATGGGCTTTTCAAGACCAAAGGAAACAAACAAATTATGAAAAAAAAAA